ATTCGTGTACTTATCACTAACACTTGGCTCACTTTATTTGTCCCCAATAAAGGGTTGCTCCTCAGTCATTTATCTGGTTCACTTCTAAATAGTGTTGTTTTGACTAAAATGTGTTAAAAAATCTCCCGAAAGAAAGTCAGTTGTAAATTGACGGATAATACTCAGTATTTATGAAGCTCGTTGGCCACAGCTCGAAATGGATACTTCGTTTCGGTGACGAGGGTGAAAAACGAATAAACGAACGAGAGAGACGAGTCCCCTCGCACTTACACGGTCATCCTAACCTCGTTAACCGGTGTACAGTATTTGCACGGTAATCGTACGCATGAAAGTGGTGTGATGAGGAGTAAGAGGGTTAGCTTACTACCTTTCAGGACCGTCCAGGGCTCTTATGCGCTGTTTAACTTATCCATTTAAAACTCAAACACGCAAAACAATTAATTAGTAATTAACGCTAGCCGGTCGTAACTGGAGGCGAGAGCCCACCAGGGTTGGTTATAATGTTTCGAAAAGGGGGCGTGGTAGCGAAGCTTCCTTGAGTGCAAGAAACTTTAAAGTTCCCAACTTCAGTTCCCTGTTAGCTTCTAATTAGCGGAAAAACAACCAAAGGATACGGCAATACTGCCCTAGACGTTTATCTAACATATTTCCGAAATATTAAGATTCTCCAATAAAGTTACCCTTGGTCATGTTATATTGCTTCTCTTCTTCAACTTAACAATCTCGATTTATCGAATATTATTAACTTAATAATATTAACAGTCAAACATACTTTATTATATTAACTCTAGATTTTAAGTTTAAAAGCAAGAGAATCGCTGGGTTTGATAAACTGCCGGCCAAAGACAAATGAAAATCTAATCGAAACAACTGAATAATTTCTGACAATTGATCAAGGAATCTAGTTTTAATAATTTAATATCATGTTTAAAATCCCGTTTATGTTCCGACATATGTTGAAACTACAACCTATTGTTTCTTTTAAAGTTGTAAAAAATTGAAAAACCTAGACTATAATTACCTGTCACGTCAGTTTGATATTGTACGTTGATCGGTTTATTGAAAATGTAGATCGATTATGACAAGGTAGTTCTACTTACGAAACGACAAACGCACTCTGGGGATTTTGTATGAAGGCATTCGTCGAGAAGCGTTTACTCTCAATGTATCAAGTCCTGTGAGGTTTGGTTGGGAAATATAGAGAGTAGCGGGGAAGAAGGTGAAGGGGGGTTTCAATATGCTTTACCGGTAGTTACCGACCACTCTGCTATGCTAGCGCGAGTTGAAGGGAGAGGCGCGGGTGGAAACCCAGCGGTATCGGTCGCCTTGGTTATTTAGGAAACCATATCAAAGTTTGAGTTGCCTGACTGCCGTCGTTGCTACCCTCCCTATCGCGCCTCTCCCGATATGATGGTGGGTGGAGTAGGGTCTACATCTCGGACAATGAGGTCTCTTCCGTCCTCGTTTAACTGGCTTTTGACATTCGCTTACCTCCTGCAGAACAAATGCTGCATGAAATTTAACACTCGTCATGCGGGGAAAAAATCCATGTCCAACTGAACAAGAGTATTGATTTCAGATAAAGCTTGCCATATTCGTTACAGCTCCTACTAAGGGTTGTATAATTATTATCACAGAAAAAACGTGTTATTGTAACACCAAAAATTGCGTTAAAACAACACTTTTAATACCACTGATGTCTGTGTGATTTAGCATTGGTTAAAATAACACTTCTTTTTTTCTGTGGCATTAATTTCATGAAATTTATTTTAATTGGACAACTATAAGGGTCAAACCATTATATTTCAACTAAAGTGGTCGCTGACTAATTTTTAAAAATTATAATACTTTGCAGGAATGATTTTGAAGTTATCAAGATCACGAAATGAAAAGAATTTTATTAAAAATTTAAATATTTATTGTAAAATATGAATTTAAAGTATATGAGGTGCTAAAAACTGTCAATTTTTTAGCCATTAGAAAATATGCAAAAAAACATAGAATTTACCATAAAAATAAAAAAAAATTATTGGAATTTACTAAGAATGAATAAATTTATCATTATCAATTGATATAATTATTTAAAGATGTGAAGTAATATATAAAATATGATTTCCAAGTGCACCTGTCAAATAACCTAATTTTGCGATTTTTATTCATTAATTATAAAAAATAGAAAACATTAAATTAAATAAAAACTTACCAAATATGAAGTTCTTGCCATAAACTTTTAGAATTTCTTTGCACTTTTCTTCTTTTCTATTCATAAGTATGAAAAATTTAAAAAATAAAATAGCTACTTTGTCTATTTTCACTATTTTTGAAAGTCAATAACTTTCTTGGAGAAAAATGAAAAAATATGGGGTTTCGAAAATTATTTAAATACACACTACATATACATTCACTGAAAATTTCGCATTGGTCCCGAAGCTATTTTCGAAGATAAAGTAAATTAAAAATTTCGTATTTTTTAGGCTATATTGACATGGGTTTTAAAGGTATTAAATCAATGTGAAGGTGGTTTACTGGTGACGACAAACTTCACATTGATTTAATACCTTTAAAACCCATGTCAATATAGCCTAAAAAATACGAAATTTTTAATTTACTTTATCTTCGAAAATAGCTTCGGGACCAATGCGAAATTTTCAGTGAATGTATATGTAGTGTGTATTTAAATAATTTTCGAAACCCCATATTTTTTCATTTTTCTCCAAGAAAGTTATTGACTTTCAAAAATAGTGAAAATAGACAAAGTAGCTATTTTATTTTTTAAATTTTTCATACTTATGAATAGAAAAGAAGAAAAGTGCAAAGAAATTCTAAAAGTTTATGGCAAGAACTTCATATTTGGTAAGTTTTTATTTAATTTAATGTTTTCTATTTTTTATAATTAATGAATAAAAATCGCAAAATTAGGTTATTTGACAGGTGCACTTGGAAATCATATTTTATATATTACTTCACATCTTTAAATAATTATATCAATTGATAATGATAAATTTATTCATTCTTAGTAAATTCCAATAATTTTTTTTTATTTTTATGGTAAATTCTATGTTTTTTTGCATATTTTCTAATGGCTAAAAAATTGACAGTTTTTAGCACCTCATATACTTTAAATTCATATTTTACAATAAATATTTAAATTTTTAATAAAATTCTTTTCATTTCGTGATCTTGATAACTTCAAAATCATTCCTGCAAAGTATTATAATTTTTAAAAATTAGTCAGCGACCACTTTAGTTGAAATATAATGGTTTGACCCATAAGTTAAAATAATCATGTGAATTTTAATTTTTCGATTATTATTTCTACCAATTTGTAATAACATTTTTTTAAAAAATATACAATAAAGTAAAAAAATGTTTTTTTGTTTCATAATTTGATCAAAGTTTATGAGTCGACAGAGCGAAAGCAAACAACAAAACACTGTAATTAGTTTAAAGTTCTGTTAAACTTAAACACTGACCAAAGACCACCTTCAACGTTTCTAAAATTAAATTTCTTGATGCTGAGGTTGGCTTTTGATGCTCGTTAACGGACACACGATGTGTAACTAGGAAAACTCGAAGACCTCGTCAGCGAGAAAAGGACGCGATAGATGCGGAAGAAAAGGACGTTTACCAACAGCAATGACGAGGAGTAGAAGATGGCTGCAGATTCCTAGGTTCTTCAGAAAGGGTCGAGAGATTTAATTAAGGCGAGGTGGTGGGTAGAAAGACGAGTCGTGTAAACTCGACATTTTCCGTCTCTCTTCTGCCTCTGCTTGACGACGAGTGAAGTCTTCAGAAACCATCACTCAAATGAGAATCCTAACATACTTTCTTCATTTAACATTAAAAAAACAAAATTGAGAAATTTTTATGACACATAAACATTGAAATATTATTTTGTATTGCGAATTATTGGAATGAAGAGTGAATAATTAATGCACAAAGTCTAGAATAACAGTTCTAAGCGACTGATCTCAAGCATCTGGCGTTCGGTGGTCTGACCTGTTCTGAGAGTGTGGCCAGTCCCTGCTCTTGCTGTGGTGGTCCCGTGATCAATATTCCTTACCCCCTTTTGCCTTGACTTGCCCCTCCGGCGCGAAACTGGTAGGTGCCCCCTTTTCTCCGAAAGCCCAGAGAGCCTGTGAAACCCCTCTTGCACCCTCGTCTTAATTAGGAGCTTGAATCTGCGGCGGACACGCATGAAGGGACGAAAGTCAGGCCAAACCCAGCTACCAAAACATCGTGTCCGAAACATTATTTCCAACTTTCATGCACTTCGTTCGAATTCTAGATGCAAAATTATCTCTATTTTTATTATTTTCTAGAATTCTGTTCCCGCCAGCGGTTAACATTTCCAAAATTCTCAATTTTGATTATCATTTATTTCACTGATAATCTCTTGAGTGGTAGACTGATGCAACCTTACTTTAATGTAACTTCATGATCCATGAGGTAATATTGGGTGACCTTATTTCCCTATTATGTGGTTGAGTAGCAACGCTTTTGACAAAAGTAATAAACAATTTAAGCATTGTTCATATGCAATATTAATTATTACTAACATTTTAATTTTTACCTCTGAATGATAATTCATTTTTTTAGTGAACTTTCCCCGCCCGAACCTTGTATGCCTCGTTTGTGTTGGCGACGCATGCATCGATAATGTAAAAATAATTAATTATGTTGGGGTTTCGGTAGAGGGGTTTGAGAACCCGTGGTTTTAAAGAAGCGATCCAATTTATCCTAGAATATTTTATATATTAAACACACACACATTAAAATCGTGGCTAAACATTGGGGGCCATACCATGAAGATATTGGGGTTTGATAATTCATTAGATTACGGGAATTTACCGTGCGGATGCAAAGAACGTGGAAGTACGAACCACAAGAAAGAGGTTTATGATATGGAAATAATAATTCCTATAATAATTGAAATTATTTTTAATTTAAAATTAAAATAATATTATTAAATCTATATGATGATATTTTTTTTGTTGCAGAGTCGTCCCACACGGGACGGGATTGTCCCCGTCAAACAATGAACAAGGTAAGTATCGCAATCATTAAATTGATGAATAAAAATACTTCTTAATTATCGGTCACGTTAGGAGTTTATATTTCGCATCTAAATATGAACCAAAACTTTCATCCAACTTGTGAGAATCTGAAAATACTAAATATAGATTTTTTAATAGCTAATTACTTAAATGGATTGCAGCAAATTGGGAATTTCTCCGCTTTGACTAGGGTCAATTTTCTAAGTAGCTTTTTACACATCTATTTGTACGGGTAAAATGGACAAGTTTGTTAAGACATTCGGTTAGAATTGAGTGGTCGAAAACAAAAAGCGACGTGGGTGGAGTTAGAAAGGAGTCTCGATTCCTCGCGAAGGCGCTTTTCATGCCGTTAGTAACGTTGTAACCGAGACGTTATACGGTTGTTCTCTAGTGTGTATAGATATACAAGTATAACCCGAGCCTCATTTGTAGGCCCTTTGCTCCGTCTGCTTCCCCTCATTATGCATTGCACATGAGAAAACTTGCTTGGAGTCTCACCCACCATCCTCCCTTCAAATCCACCCACCCTCCGACCTTTTTACTCGTCGCGACTTCCCGTAGCTTGGCTTCTTTATAAACTTTTAATGACGGAAAAGCTTAATCGAGAAAGTGCGCATACCACGTTATAAGCAAAAAAAAGGGAAAAACTACGAATCGCTCATCGAATCTCAATACCGAATGTTGTATCGACTCGAACCAAAAGAACCAAAACTTTAGTCTGCACTGTTGTTTAAATCATCTCGTGTCTTTAGAAACTTTTGTTACCTTTTCCCATTCAAGTGTTTCAATGTAATTTCGGTTTCGATATGTTCATTCCAAATGAGTGAAAAAGAATAAGTTAAAAATTATCCAAAAAAATGCTATACTTGAATAAAATTTTTGCAATATATTTAATTAGAATTGTCAGAGTATAAACTATAAAATAATGAATTAAAATTGAAAACGGTAATCACGTTCCAAAAAAGGTAGAAATTTTCGATTTGCACCAAATCATTTTGTATTCACAATTCACACTCGACTGCATGCCCAGTTGAATTAAACTTTCCAAAAACTTTCCTTAGCGAGGTTGCTCGAAGGCATGCGTATATTTCCACCTGAATCCATATAAAGTTGTGTATATATGTATATTTAGTTGCTATATATCTGAGTTACATAGTCATTCTAGTATATATATTTAACTCGTGAGTTGCTTTCCAAAGTTCACTGCACCTTAGTGCGAAAGCAGTTAACCATTTGATGCAGCGCAATGCCCTTCTACAAACTGAACAAGATTAACATACTTACAAGATGCATTCGGTGTATAAGTTTCCTCTGACTTATCTTCTCTATCCACAATTATTTTATCTTCAGCACTGAGACCCATTTTATAATATAAGTAATTAATTTTAGAATTTAAAGCACAGAAATTTGTTTTATTGAAAATTATTAAAAATGTAATTATTTAATTTATTTTGTTATGATAACTATTTTTGAGTTCTCCACAAAATTTTAGATCAAACTATCAAGTAATTTACGCGAACAGTACAAAGAATATTTATACATGTTAAATAATCACATCAATCAAATGATCTTAAACATGTTCTGTTAAACGGCTATGTTAAAATTTTTAATATCTTTTTTAGCAATTCTATTAGTTTGTTGAAGTGTAAAACCAATTTTTTTTATTTTTCATAAAATTGAAATTGTATATTTGCTACCTAATAATTTAAAAAATTAACAAGTATGAAATGCCAAACAATTTTTTTTAACCTTTTTCTTGTCCGTATTTGATGCACTAATTTTCTTATAATTTCAGTTATGGAAGAGTGCAGAAATACATAAATGATAAATGATTGATGAAATGATAGATTATTTATCAGACCTCATCGCAATGGAACCAATTTCTCTGAAAATGTATATAATTAATAATATAAAAATAAAAATTCAAATAATTAAATTCTCCACTCATATAGTGAAATTATTAGTCGAGATAAAAATTTTCTAAAAGAAGCAATTGAAGCATAAATTGTTACTGGCAGCGTGAAATCAATTTGGGAATTTCTCTTTAAAGTCAGAATAAAAGAGTTGAGGCAGAAAGTGTGCCGGGCGTCATTTTACCGCGGCCCTCTTTGGCAAAAGACCTTAATAAAAATCCCAATCTAAACAAGCTTAATTTACGTCCGCCACATAATTACCTACCCCAGAGGCTCTCGCCGTCTCACTCTTTTTCATTCGCTGCTATATAGAGAGAAGAATTTTTGACGCAACACGCAAGCAAGACGAGAAGCGAACGACTGGAAAAGGAGAGCACTCTAAAAAATCTAAGAGGCGTAAAGCATTAAAAGGGTTATATAACATTCATTACGAGCAGGTCAGCCTTTGTGAAATTTCCCTTGGAAGCAACGCTTCGCTTGGTGGTCTTCTCCTCCTTTTCTCCATCTCTCCTCTCTCTCTCTCCCTCTCATTTACCGTCCTGGCTAAATGTCTCTCTCTCTCTTAATCTTGGCCCTCTTCAATCCCTCTCTCTCTCTTTCTCCCTCGCCTGTTTGTCCAAGTGACTCTTTCCATCTTTGTCGCTCCCCTGTCTCTTGGGGATGAAGTCACGTGATCATTTCACATTGTGAAGGAGGGATGTGGGAGGTCATGGAGCAGGTAGAGGGGTCGAGTCTGATGAAGATGTCGCACACGCCGGGGACCCGAGCCAGATTACTCCGAGCCAGAACCTCGGGACCCTGGTCAGGGCACATGCTAATTGCTTTATTTGACGTCAAGAAATAATGTACTGTTCTTCGGCCAACCATGCCATGTAAACCCGCGAGGAAACGAAACTCGAATAGTCTCGGGATAGGGATAGTGCGCCATTTCGAATGGCCAGCCGAGACCCATAGTATTTCACGGTAATGGCTACTCGGACCCTAATTCTCTGACTTAAGAGTAAGGGAAGTCTCCTAACTGAAGATCAACAACGTCCGTTCTACACAAGTCACAGAATTTCTCTCAGGGAGAAAAAAAGTTAAATTCGATCTTATTTTCACGTAAAACAAGTTCTGTTGCAAGTTTAATAAAAAAAAAAAATTAGGTTGAAAATTAACTTAAAGAATGTTCAATATTGTGTGGATTACAAGAGAGATATGGAAAGACATTAAATTGTCCAGGTGGGACCAGAGAGGCAACGTTAAAGATGAAAAGTTGGAACGTAAGAAGCAGATCTGCCGTCAAGTCCGATTCGATAAAAGATGGATGAGCCGAGCACCCGATGGAGTCGATCGGTCTCCGAGCTGACGCTCTCGAAGATGAAATGCACCCCTGACGACCCCTCCGATCCCTTGCATCCACCCTTCACTATACATACACATATGAGCACTTTGGCCAACTTGAACGCATATTTACGAGAAAAGCACGTGTCCTTTGTACACAGAAGGAGACTTAGAGGCCTTCACGAATACAAATTCGTCCATATTATCAATAAATAGACGTTTATAATCAGAAAGAAGCAATACGCTCGAAAACATTAGCTTTTGCTACTGGTCACCGGATTCAGATCACGACATAAGGACAAACTCATTTAAAGAGCCTTTCACGATTACTGCTTGTGTCATAACTATTGGGATTTTCTCGCTATGGGAGGAAAAACTCATTGTATGAAACTTTTCTGACGTAACTTTTATGGAATGGGTACTATGAGAATTGAATTCAAGAACGTAATTTGGAATTTTATTCTTTTTCTATAGAAATAATTGCACGCTATGGACAATTCGCTCTATAAATCTGAATCAAAGAAAAGTTTTCCAATAATCTGATGTAATATTTATCATTTCAGAGATTAATCTTTTTCTAAAATTAGGATTATGATAAATAATTTTAACATTTTTCCAATCAAAATCATAACTAAATTTATTTTGCTATTATTCACATGAGAATAAATTTTTTTAATTTTTAATAATTTTTACATGACTTTAAACGATATACAGATATTAATTAATTAAGAGATAAGTAAGAACAACATATTTTGAGTCATTAGAATTCTTATCAGATTTATTTTAAAGAGATATATTGGTATTTTAAATTAAAGTAAATTGACCGATAATTTGAAATTAAATTAAATCGACCATACCAACAATATCAAAACCTTAATGAAAAATTTGTTAAAATTAAAAAGATTAAGTGAATTATTATAATAAATACTGTTTAATAAAAAAAAATAAGTTTATGAATTTCATTTTAAAATAATGGAAATAAAATACTTAAAAAAAAAGAAGTCTGTAAAAGGGCAAAAATGACCTTTTATTTTTTTTATGCAGACATCAGATTAAGGTGGAGTGACACCTTTGAGGTCTCTTTTGAACCTGTTTTTCATGAATTTTTGAGAAATTCTGTGACTTGTGTAGAACGGAATAAAGTAAACAAAATTTGGTTTCAAGGACTTTATTTGTTAACTTTTTAAATTTACAAAAATATATTTATACTTAAAAAAGTTTCAATTTGTTGACTATAGAGGCCGCTAAAGTTGGTCTCGTTTCTCTGCAGGGCAAATCGGTGGGCAAGATTCCGGTTAGACCGTTTAATATAAAACAAAAATTCAAATTTTTTCGGAATCTGTGATAGATTTAGCTTTAGAGTACGTAGGATATTTTGACAATAATAATTTTTGTGGATTTGGCAGCTATTTGAAGGAAAAAGTCGATTTTTAGGGCGAAATTTTTTCAAAAAATCTATTGCCAAAAAAAAACAAACATACCAATAAAAAATCCGCTATGTACTCTAAAGCATTTGTAAATGACGATGAAAAAAAACTTTGGCCAAAGTCAATCCGATCAAAACTGTTCGAGCTAGACTGCCCACCGTTTTGAAAAATGTAATTTCAAGATAAACGCGTTTAAAGTTTTGACATGAAAACTTAACTTATAAAAAAATGATACTTATCAACGTTAATCTGCGATGCTTGCACCGTATAATTGGCCTTCTACATTAATATTGGCTTTTTACCACGGTAAAAGACAAAATAGCCGAT